TTTTTATAATTTAAAAAATATTTTTTTCTCAATACTTATCTTTTTATCCTTTTTTAGTTGTTATACTTTAAAATAAATATTTGACATAAATATATTTTTAGTTTCTCAAATTTAAATTTATTATTTTAAATTTTTATAATTTATAAAATTATATTTTACTTTTTTAGTTTACTAATAACATATCTGAAAATAATAAATTAAGATAATTATGCAATATTAATTGAGTTTAATATTTTTACTAATAGGAATAATAGTAGGTAAATTTAATAGAACAATATTTGATAGATTTTCTAACAAAATTTAAGTACAAGGACTAAAATAAATTTTTTTAAAATTACTGGGAATAAAAGGACTAATTTTAAATTTGAAGAATTAAAAATAAATTTACTTTAAATTTGATAGACTAAAAAGATATTTAAATCTAGATATTTTTAGTCCTATATTTAGAATTTTTAATTATTTTAGTTCCTGTCGTTGTTATTTTTTTTTTGTTTTTGTAATATTATTTCTTTTATGTTGAGCTGACAAATATATTAATTAAACTTTGTGTATTTTATATTTAATTTATTTTGCTAAATTTACTCTAAATTATATCTCTTAATATTTTGTATCTCTTTTTTACTATCACTATAACATCCATTGTTGAAGTATATTTTTATTTTACTCTCACAAAATTAAAAACTTTTACCATATCAACATAAAACAAATAATGTTATAACAAAAATTAACAAACAAAAATTAAATAAATTAAAAAATTGTAAATATAGAAACTAAAAAAAATATATTAAATTATAAGAATTAATTTTTTTTAAAAATATAAATATAAAAATAAAATAAAATAAAAATATAAAAACTAAAAACTAAAATAAATGAAAGAATATATTATAATAATAGTGTCTTGCAACTTCCAAGTCCAGACAAAAGTGTTAAATCTCTACTGTCCTTTACAACAACCTGTGCTTGGTTAAATTTGCTAGCATTTATTGCCTATTTATAGTGACAATTAATTAAAAATTTAAACTAGCATTTTAACGATTGTTATTTTATATATATATATATATATATATATATATATATATGTGTGTGTGTATAGTTAATCCATGCCATACACTTTTTCGTTCTTGTAAGTCATATCTCAACCGTTAATAACATCGTGAAATCAATACTATATTTTTCCTTCTTGTCTATTTGTTTAAAACTATTTTAAAACTATTTTAAAAGTAAATTAAAAATTCAAATATTTTTTAATATATATTTTTTTACTTAAATATGTTTTTAATCTCTATAAAATAAATAAATTTTGATTTTAGTCTTTGTAAAAAAAATTATTTATTTTTCATCTTCCAAAATTTAAAATTATTTTTCTTATGTAGTTATTGTTAACTACTTGTTTGTTCATTAAAAAATTAAGTAACTATTATAATTGTCACTTATATTTGTTAGTTATCTTATATTAGCATGTAACATCTCTAAAAAGTTTTTATAAATTCTTAAAATAAATGTTATTTCTATACATAAAATCATTGTTAGAGATAAAAAATAGTGATTTAAATTCAAAAGATGATAATAAAAAAAATATATTTTTCAAGATTTACTTATTTTACAAAGATTAAATATTTTATAAGGACTAAAAACAAAGTTTACAAATTTTAGAAGAATAAAAAATAAATATTTTTTTATATACTTAAATCAAAATTTATCCATTTTATGGTAACTAAAAAAATATATTTGTTTTTTTATTTTATTTTATGAAATTACAAATATTTTATTAAATTTAATTTTACTTAATAGATAACTTTAGAATCTTTAATAATTTTACTTCTAAAATTTTAAACAAACAATCGCTTTATCTTGCGACCTGTAAACTTTGTAGTCACTAGTCACCTGTGATTCTTGGATGATACAACTAAATAGGATATCATCCGCGTAGGTTATGTTTGATAAAAAGAAATCTTTTATTCTCAAATCACTTTCTCAATAATGAAATTCTTTTAAAAAATTTATAACATGTTTATTTATTATTCTACCTTTCTATAAATAATATAATTATTCCCAACAAAGTTTGATTCCTATAAGAAACTAATTTACAGAAAAAGATTTATTTGTCTAAGAAGGTGAAAGCGAAATTATTTCCATCTATTCGCAAGGATCTCTTGTATAAAAATATTTGCTTAGTGGGGGGAAAATAGGGGCCTAGGCCTATGCTTGAATAGCAAATTCATATTTTAAAGGTTGCTCTATATATACTGCAGTGGCCAACTTGTACTGATTTAGCACCAAAGAAAGGAATTTATTAAAAAGAGGAAAAAGTATGTAATGGACGTAACTCATTCGTTGCAGTGAAGGCAATAAGCAATAAGCAATAAGCAATAAGCAGTAAAGAAGGTAAAGGTTCAATGTTAGTTCTTGAAAATCAGAATAACGTCATAACGACAGGCCATACGAAAACATGCTTGTCTAGCTAAAAGAATTGCACCAACTAGAAAATGTCTCTTTAGAATAATGATTGACGTTCATCCTTTAACTACGTCTTAGGACCACTTTCCAACGGTATTCAATTAAGGAGAATTGTGATTGCAACATTTTGGTATGTGACAATCATTCAACTAACTCAAAAATATTTTAAAATTCAATTTGATAATTAATTCATTAAATTTAATTCGAGTTGATATCAAGTTAAAGATTAAATTTAATAAATAAATAATCAAATTTCAGTTATATATAATTTAAATTATTTAATTTATGAATATATTTGACATATAAATATATAATTTATATAATTAATTTTTTTATTTAATTTTAACTTATTAATACTTGAAAGAATTTTCAAAACTTAATTATAAATTGATAATAGTAAAAGAAATGAATACTTTAAAATCTCATGAACATGAATTAAGTTTTCTATTATTTTATACAAATAAAAAAAATTAATTTATATAAATTTTAGTTATAATTATGTTACTTTAGAGTTATATCTTATAATCTTGCAAAGCTAATAATATAAATTGTTATTTTTTTAAAAAAATCATTTTATCTAATATATATTATTAAATTAAAATTTTAAAATGTATAAAATTAAAAAAATTAAAAAAACTAAATTCTAATCCATATGATTCAAATTAACAAACTGGATCGAACAGCTAACAAACTTAAACCGAATCAAACTTAAATTGAATCAGGTTCGAACTAGAAAAGAAAAATTCATATCAAATTTGAGTCAAATTATAAAACTCAATCAAATGTTATCGAACCGAAAGAAACCTGACTCATTTCCAAACCAAGTTACAGACAGAGCCATTGCTAGCGGATTAAAAAACCACCAGAGTCCCTCTGATAACTTAATTAATAGTATGACAATAAAAATTATGAGCTTATAAAAAAGAAACACTGCATAGAATACAAACAAACGACTATCGACTTGGGCTTCATCGTAGCCCAAACTAACAAAACCTTAGGCCAGCTTCATGTTATAAAAATTGAAGCCCTCCCCTTAAACTATTTTTGGAAGGATAAAATTATCAGTTCCAACACTTTATACATCAAATCGCAATACGCATCACGTGGAATGAGACGCGGTATGTGTGATTGCCGAATTCAATAACTATCATCCAGTCCACCACCGCTGCAATGCACAATATTTGCCAGTCCGACCAATGATTGAAAAGGATTTTCTGAAATGACAGCATTTTACATTTGCCACCGTAGATCAGTTAGAATTTTGGCATATTAATATTCCAAATGATATTCACATTGATTGCATGCAGAAACCAGTTTTTAACCTCAACTACCAACAGTCCCATTCACTATCTTTGGATCTGTCTGCATCTTACATCTGCTACAACATGGCGAATATGCGGAGCATACCATTTTACCCTCTCCACATGTTCAATAGAAACCTCCCAACAATAACCTGTGGGTATCATAATAGTGTGGGTTAATCGATCTTAATTACAGAAATTTGATCTTCAGAGTAGCAGTGGATCAATTTCAAAGTTGAATAATTTTTTAAAAAAAAAAAAAAACACACGATGCTACCTTCAGATCTAGCAATATCAGATATTGATTTTGATACATGATCAATCCATTGACACTCTTCTGAGTCTTTTGTATTCCCATGGATATGTAATATCCCACCCTCTCTCCTGCAACGTTGATTCAACGAGAGAATGAAATTGATCATTAAAAGTAGAGGCCCTAGAGTGAATTTGAACAGAATTAAGCTAGTCATATCCACACAATTTTCTTCGTTGTCCTAGGAGCGCATGTTTCATATATTAATTCCAATTTGTAAGATTTCGTTGTCATCAGAAGTAAAAGAGTCATAAATATGGCATTTAGTTACTGATACAGTTTCCAGATGCAGTGGTTTCAATCAGGCAATTTAATGCATGAGATGTGAACCACAGCTTCAGGATTATTATGACTAAAATTGGTAGAATTACTTGTCAAACCAGACAATTTGAAAATTACTCGGGAACCAGGATGTAAAGAGAGAACCGCAGATAATTTTACTAAAATAATGCATCAAATTAAATTGCAGCTAAAACTTTGAAACTGTTATGTCACCTAATATGACAGTTTATCTCTAATTTTATTCACATTGGCTGTATATTTACTTTTTTAGAGATAAACATTCTAAATTCAGGAAAATAAGTACAAGAATTCAGTGCCAGAGTTCTTTCAATGTCAATCATCATAGATAGTCAGCTATGGAGAACACAAGAAAAGAAGAATTTTTTCAGAAGATAAATGCAGCAAACAATAATATCATTGCCGTTCACAAGGTCAGCTATAATTAAACTATATGGTGCTAAATAAGCAGGCAACTTAATATAGGTGTGGAAGCAAGATGCCACCATCAATAAGAATTTATTAATCACCAAGATGGCTAAATGCTGACAACAGAAAATAGAGTAAACATGCAACTTAATATGGGTCTGGAAACAAGACCCAACCACCAATAATATTTTATAGATTGCCAAGATGGTTAAATGCGGACAACAGAGTAACAGCAGATAAATACGTTGAAAGCAATGATGCATATTAGTATTCCAATTACCTTAAAGCCCTCACAGCTGTGACCCAGCTAAGCTCACTAGACGGAATGAGACCAAGACAGACTCTATCAGCCACGCTCTGTAAATAAAAAAAAAATCAACAGATTCAATTAAATTATTTCCTTCTACATGCATCAGTTAGTGTTAAGAATTGATGGATCCATTTTCCTAAAGCATCACACCTTAATAGTCAGTGTCCATAGTGACTCGTTGAAAAAAGTGAACAGAGTAAATAGTTCATCGATCACATGTTTCTTTCCTTCTATTTATCTTTTTAACAAACAAGGGGATAAAAAACTTCCCTTTTCTCTTTATCTTCTTTTCATCCAAACAAGGGAAGAAAAATATTACAATCCTAACTCAAATTTCTCTGTACAATTTTCTTCCCCTTCACTTTATTCCTCCTTTCATCTTTACTAGCTGGAAGAGTGTCTCTAATAATGTCAGAAAATGCATATTTACTACAGTTACAGTATACAATCAGGTTTAATTGAGTGCGAGTTACAATTTGCTAATGATGGAGAGCAATGGCCACTTATAAAGAGTTAACTAAACAAAGGTGAATCAAATAAACATGTTAACCATCTCAGAATGTTGGTAATCAATCTTGTGGTCAATCCTCCTAAATTAGAAATATGTTTGCCAGCGATAGGGAACCTATGGGCAATCAAGGCATTACTGACACTGGGTAGGAGGGTGTCTGATCTGTGGTGATGATGAAAAATGAATCATTGGCTTCTTCAGGAAACTAGGGAACTGCAACAAGGTCATTGCTGAGTTAATGGGGAGTACGGGAAGGTTTATCTATGACATAAAACATGGTCTTTAGATGGATTATGCCCAAGACTAATTCTCAGGTGTTGAATCAAGCTCTTTCTCTGGTAGGAGGAGTTCAACAGGGCGATGGCCAGCTGATTTGGTAAAGTAAATTTCTCCTTGCTGGGTGAATAAATAGTTAAATACACACACTATACCTTGGGTGCTGTAATTCTATTATCTCCTTCGAGTATGATACAACGATCAGCCACAGAATTTGCTTGCAGATTATGTTGGAGTGCTTCTACAGCATGGGGATTCCACTCACAAGCATATACAAGTGCTGCCTGGGCCCTGCTTGCAAACATGCAAAAGCAATAAGAATATATATAGATTAATATTACGAAATATTAAAAAAAAAAAAATTTGTAAGGTGAAGAGTGAAGACTGCTCAAGCCTTGCAAAGTTGTAAGAACTACATTGGTCACACCTTCAGTCGATGTAGGATCTCAATACACCACCTCATGCACATTTGGGGTGTGGAGAAATGCAGGTGACCCAATAACAATACCCCCTCACGTCTAGAAATAGTCACTTACAGGGTATACAAATATGGGTGGCCCAATGACGAATTTAGGATAGATTCTAATATCATCTTAGAATTTGGACTTAGGACCTACCACAACCTCATAAAACTAACTTGTAAGGTGAGGACTATCCAAGCCTCATGAAGACTACATTGACTATATCCCTAGTAGATGTGGGATCCCAACAAGATAAGAATTCAAAGCCTCAATCACTGTTTAATAAAAGTAAAGGAATGCCCCCATCGAAGTCATCAAATGTTCATATTCAGATCCAGAATGTATTTTATGAAGTTTCCAAAAAATAAATTATCAAATGTTGTTGACACAAAGTGTCTAAGTACAAGTGGACCCATATCTTCTATACAGCACTAAATAATCTTGTCACTTGGCTTTCCTCCAATCATAACACAACATTGAAGGCTAAAGGGTAATTTTGTCACAATACCCAACACTTCAAAACATTACAATATAGTTAGAGATTAAGTTCAATACACAGCTCTGCTAGTACAAACAGACAGAATACCTGACAAGGAAAGGCAGCACAAAGTAACCAATGCCTGCAAACAGGTCTACTACAACCTCTTCTTTACAATCCAGCCTGGCCATCCGGAGCTTCTCAGAAAGATTACCCCATGAGAACATGCATTTTGTAGCATCAAAAGAATAGAGTATTCCATTTTCTCGATGATTGACCCAACCATTATCTCCAACAAGAATCTGCAATGTGCTATCTCTTGTACCAGTTGCAGCAACCGGGCCCTATAATAACCCAACTTATGTCATAAATAAATGAATTCATTGCAAAGCTATTGTGGGAAGAATTGAAAACAACACTGATTAATAAACTAAAGCTATAAAATAATTGTCTCAGTATAAAGTATCACTAGTAATTCCAAGACTTTTTCCTTCCAAAGATCAATGCAAAGCACTATCGGTTTGCATCTTATCAGGAACTGCCAATTCAGTTCTCTTTTAAGTTTAGCCTTCATAAATCTGTCTAGACATTGATTCCCTCTATCATAGAAAAAGATGTTAAATCTGGATTCCATACTAGACTGAATTTCTTTTAACCTTTACAAATAATTTGCTATTGAAAATTTTAGTAATTCACATACTTGTAAAATTTCATCATCAGACATTCCTTTATCTTTCACATATATTTAATATGTGCTGTATATTCAATAAGAAAATTTTAAATATATCATGCATCAGGGAAATAAATGAATCAGAATGATTGTATTAATCATGTATATGTGATTACCTGACGAGCTAGACGGTAAGCCTTGAGGCATTTGGCAACAATTGGCCAAAGCTCTTCTACAATGGAGTCCCACATGGAATCCTTAAAAGAAGTACTTGGAAGTATAAAAATATCTCCAAGCCGATCCCATCTGGAAGAATAAAGAATAAATAATACATACAAAGAACACAACAATAAAATAAAGGGATTGCATACAAGGGTGAAAATCCAAGTAAATGGAAAATAAGCAAGAAGTTGGTAAGCAGGCACCATAAAAGCAATTTTAAAGAAAGAACCTTGCTGGAAGTTCCTCTAGAAGCCTTGGTGGTAGGCCCCTATGTTCAACCAAAGATGTTATTGCTTCAGTCATCACTTTCAAAGGAGATTTGGCAGCTTTTCTTTCTTCAACAATCTTGTCTTCCAGCACAATGGCACCATATTCATGGAGAAGTGTCAATGCATCAGAACCTGATAACTCATTTAACAAGTATTCATCTCGTTTTAGTGGTTTTGAAAAGGGAGCTTCATTTTTTCCATCAAATGCATCTCCCAAATGGTGTTTCCTTTCATGAAATACAGCAAAAAACTCTTGATGGACAGGAAAACAGATATGTACTCCACCCTCTTCAGAGTATGCCTTCCTCCCCAGGTCTAACCATCCAAATTTCTTCAATATATCCTTTCCCAATTTTGCATATTTCTTTTCTAGTTGCAAAACATAATGCAATGCAATCGTCTGACTTTGATCATTCAAGCAAGGTAAGTTATCATTAAAAGATAAACTTTCATCTACAGATATATTTGGTGCATGTTCAAGTTGGAGTCCAAGAGAATTTTCAATGTTACTCCTGCTTGTCCCTTCATTTTGTTTAATTATAGGCTTTCTTTGATTTTTTACAGGCATAAGCTCATCATGTGATTGTGCTAAATTGAGCAAGGTGACTTTTGCTGGCTCACTGAATTTGGTCCCAAATGCATAGCATGACGCACCACCACCAATTATAACAAGATCATCACCAATGACATTGACTGTACTACGCACAAACAAATCTTTACCTACAGAATTGAGGGTAACATGTTTCCATAGTCGAAGCTTCAAATCAAGTAAAGCCAACTCTTGACAATGTTGTCTAACAGGACAACCACCGAGAACCCCAAGATAATTCTTATATACAAAAATTGAGTGGGAGAACCTAGAATGTGGATTCCTTCCAGTTGTTATTTCCTTTGTCCATTGACACTTCTGAACATCAAAGCTATACAGATCCCCAAGTGCTTTCCCACCATTATATCCACCAAACACGAAAATCTGAGAATCAGATGCCACCATAGCATGTGAGTGGCGTGCACATGGCCTGTCCCCAGAAACTGGTATTTCTTTCCAGTGTAAATTGTTTGTGTCAAAAACATAAAAGGAAGAAAAGATAACATCATTATCAAGCCCCCCAAATACATAAATGTTGGAACCTACAACAGCTGCAGCATGCCGATGCCTATCCAACGTGTACAGAACTATATATTAGACTTACAGTGTAAAAAGAATATTACAAAATCAATCAACACCAAGTAATGTCACTACACTTTATGATAGAGTTCCAATGTACAGTTGTAATTGTAAGCATTTGTGCACATGAATTAAAATACTGATACCAGAATTCATTCAATACATCATCTTAAAAAGTTTTTTTTTTTCATTCAATACACCAAGTTATCTAAAAATAAAATTAAAAAAAAAAAAAACGAGGTTTTTTTTCCCTACTGCAAAATTGTTTGACCAGTGCCTTTCTTTTGAATTGGAGAAAGGCTGAAAGTTATAATGCAAGAATGCTGTTAAGTATTACCTGGGAGGAAATACATCATCACCAAATTGCAGTAGCTTCCAAGAATTCTTGGTTGTATCAAGTATCCATACATCACTCAGAATTTTATCAGGACCAGTCCTGCCTCCAATCACAAACATGTGATCCCCAACCAAGGAAGCTGTATGGCCCAAACGCGGAGATGGAGAAGCACAGCCAACAGTGCTAACCATTTCAAGATTGCCCAAATATGGATCAAGCAGCAACAAATAATTTCTTCTGGCGTGTCTCCCCATGCCTCCAAAACCACCAAATACAGCAACTTTCTTGTGATCACCATCATCCAATGCACAAGCTGAGTGGCCCCATAGGAAAAGCTTTTCCACTGGTTCACCAACAATTTCGAAATGGTCAATTGACAGACCAGAACCAGGAGAAGAACCCACAATCCCTGCCAACCATTCAAAGATTCAGAGTTTTCATCGATATTAAAAGGAAAGTTGTCCTGCAATCAGATACATACCGATATGCATCAGTACTAATTCCATCACTCAGACACATGCATTCTGATAGCGCTACACTTACAAACACGTTCCTTTAAACTATAAAGTAAAACATCAAGTCGCAAATCCCTTTCTAATGCAAAAGTTGACTAAATTTTACGGTTGAAAAAGGGTTGACTAAAATGAAAATTCCTTGACTTAATTATACTTTTAATCTCCCTGCTATAGTCATTTCGCAAATTTTGAATTTCCGGAAATGACAATAGTAAGAGCACAGAACGTGCAATTAAGCCAAAATAAAACCATATTACACCTGAAGAAGTTCCTGCATTCCCGTTTCCTAGCCGAGATTCATCCTCGAGTTCCAGGTGGTCGCAAGCTTCATTCGCCGACGACAAATGGTTACTGTTATCAGCAACAACAGATCCAGTGGACTGAAAAACTTGGAGAAACCTCTGAGTTCTTTTCCAATTGGCTTCCATTTTCTCATTTGCGACCATAAGGAGGTAGCGAACATACTCGGGCGTGACCATGACGTTGCGCGTGTCCCCCAACGGCACCTCCATGCGAATGGAGCAGCGAATGGCGATGATGACGCGCTTCTTGGCGTTGGTAATGCCACTCTCTCTGAAGCCGCAGGAGATGGCGAGGGAAACGAGGGAGTGAGCGGAGTCGAGGTCCCTGCACTCGAGGGCAATGATTAGGGGCTCGAATCGGAAGACGAGTTCGGATGCGACGGGGGAATGAGTCGACTCGGAGGGAAAGGGGAGGGAGAGAACCGAGTCGGGATCGGCGAGGTGGTGGGAAACGAAGAGCCATGAGCCTCCTCTGGCCTTCTTTTTAGGGTTTGGGGATTGAGAGTGAGAGAGGGGTTGGGAGAGGATTGAGATTCGGCCGGAGCAGGAGCTGGTGGTGAAGTAAGAGGGGTTTTGGTTGAGAGTGTTTATGAGAGGGATGATTGCTGTGTCTAACGAACCTTTCGGAGATTTGTCCGATTCCGTTGAGCTCAGCGACCCTAACGCCGCCGCCTTTCTCTTTTCGAACTCCATTCTGTTGACACTTGACAGTAAACACCACTGCGATGCGATGCTATGCTACTTTTCTTGGACTCCTTAACTTATGGGCCTTGCCCCACTCCTTCCCCAAATTGTTTACGTGCTATATTATGTTTATGATAGTTAAAAAAATCATCCAAATATGCAAAATAATCACGAAAGTAAATAAATTAGGGTATTATTGTTTCGGCTTGAGGTTTGAGTTAAAGATGAATGTTTACAGCATCTTCTCCAATAAATTTTAATCAATAGCAGATAAAATGTTATTAAAAAATATTTTTTAATTTTACTTTTGAAACAAGATATTATTAGTCAATGGTTTGCGCAAGTCGTATGCTAAAGGTTTGATGCTAACATCACGATAAGATCCAACGAGGAATTAGTGCATATTTGGCTTTGGCATATACCTCCCATGAAGATTGCTCCATGTGGCATGTTCTCATTTCACATTGCGAATCCTAGTTGATTCTCATTGTTGCGTCTTTTTAGTGTGTAACTAACACCTAGGCATTTGTTAAAAAGACTCGGTACAAGATCTCACATCACACTACTCGCAAACGTAAAATCTTTGGTCATATAAACCCTTCTCTGTCATGCCATTATCAGAGAATCAGCATTGGTACATGCCATAGGTATCATTTTAAAATCATTCAAGTGTTCTTAAATAATTACACACTGTAATAACGTTTATATTTTTGTTGCACAGATTATGAGAGAATGATTGCTAGATCGAACATTTTCTCATGCATAGCGTAGAAGCATTGTTATTTGGAAGTAACAACAATAGCGATCATGGAGATGTCTTTGCAACTGAATTGCAAAACGGTGTTGGACAATAGAATAACGTGCTTTGGCAATGGCTTGTTCTTTCATACCATTAGCCAATGCTCCCAACCAGTTAATATCCCAATTCATCCTACTATTGTTTTCTTATTAGTTTATTCTTAAACTTGATGTTGTAGTTCACCTTGATCAACTAACGATTATAATTTCTTTCAAGCAAATACTAATCAATATCGTAATTTCTTATTAAAAAGATATAATTGATTAGATTCTTGTGCCATAATTATGGGTTATCTTAATGTGTTTATACTTTTAGACATCTCTACAAATATAAAAGACTTGATATATATTTATTTATTTATTTACCTTGGTGACAGAAATTCAAGGATGGTCGACGCTCTATTTGCATCAATGCTAGTGCAGGTTTATTATCTGCCCTTACTCTAATTTTTTTTATACTTGTTATGCCAAATGATGGATCCTTTCCAACCTATTCTAATCAAGTTTGTAAAATTTCTTCTATATAATTGGCCTTTTTATCTTTTGGTAGATTTTTCACGTAGGAGACAGAGGAGGATCTTTATTGCAAAGCCAAAGGACCATGGTTTTGATTCAAAGGGTTTCGTTTCGAGACCATCCATTAGAACAAGCCATCAGCAAAAGGTTAAGAGAGATTTGTCTACCTCGACACAGGGCGTTGTTCAATGCAATCTAGTTGGAGAAAATGGAAGTGTTTATATAGTCGATGAAAAGGATGTTCTTGACACTTCCAACATTGGGAATGTTGAATCTTCAAACGATGTTGATGACATTGAGGATGGAGTAACTAGGGAAACCATAGTTGGAGAAATAAATGATGATTCTGATGATATAGTAAAGAAAGAGGCTTCTAAATTGTTGAAGCTACAATTGGAAGCAAGTTTGCGCAGGCAAGAAATAGAGAGGATTGCACAGGAAAGCTTGTCACTACAAAACAAGTTGTTTGTATATCCTCCTGTGGTTGAGCCTGACCAAGATATTGAAGTGTTTCTTAATAGAAGTATTTCAACTCTATGCAATGAGCCAAACGTTTTGATTAAAGGAGCATTTAATGATTGGAGGTGGAAATCTTTTACCATTAGATTAAACAAAACACACATCCTTAATGGTGATTGGTGGTCTTGCCAGCTACATATTCCAAAAGAAGCCTATAAAGTAGACTTTGTGTTCTTTAATGGGCAAAATGTCTATGAAAATAATGACAAAAAGGACTTCTCCCTACTTGTTGATGGTGGAATGGATCCAATTGGATTTGCGGATTTCTTGATTGAGGAAAAGTGTAAAGAATTAGAAAGACTTGCTAAGGAGCAAGTTGAAAAGGAAGAACAGGAAAAAGAGAAAAGGAAAATGGAAGCACTGAGAGTTGCACAAGAAGAGGACATGTCACAAGCTAGGATGGAGATAGAAAAGAAGAAACAAGTGTTGCAACAGTTGATGAAAAACGCAGTAAAATCCATGGACAATGTTTGGTATATAAAACCTAGTGAATTCGAAGGCAGAGACTTGGTCAGATTATATTATAACAAAAGATCAGGTCCTCTTGCACAAGCTCAACAAGTATGGATTCATGGGGGACACAATAATTGGATAGACAAATTAACAATTGTTGAAAGGCTTGTCAAAAGTGATTCCAAGAATGGTGATTGGTGGCACGTTGATGGTATGCTTATTTACTTATGTTGTCACTCATCTCTGATGTTAGTTCATTTAACTGAAGTTAGTTGTTTATGAGACATATAAAATGTATGGATAGAGAAAACATGATTATTATGTGAGTTGCAAGGAGGTGGAGTTTGACATATATTTATGTTAGAACAAACACGTGTTTTCTCCTTGAAGGTGGAAAAATGTGAATCTACTGTAATGTTATATATATATATATTTTTTGTTGGTACACGATTGTGAACACAAAGGTGAATGGAATGCCTTTATAAGATTGTATGTGGATAATGATTCTGAAGCACATTCTTTGTCCATCAAAAGAATTAAAATAGAAGTGAATTACAGTTGTATCTTTGATGTGCCAATCATTTAATATAAACATGAAAAAGTTGCAGATTTAAGGGTTTGGGACATTTGTATTTATGCTCGTCATTTTGATCAAAATTTTGAACTTTAGAGGGTTCACAAGGATTTCCTACTTAAGGCTTTGGGTTTCTATTATGTCCATATTTCAAGTGACAAGTCACGAAGAGAGAGAGTTCTTATATAAAGCATTAATGTTTTACTTTTGATCACTTCATTAATTAAGCAAGTTTGTTAACATGAATGATTGTTATGGCAAAAAAGGGATAAATGTTTTTTTATGGTACTCTATCCTAGATAATAGTGTTTGAAAAGTGAGGTAAAAACGTGTTCTTCTCTTCAAGTATAACTTGAAGTGAATAAGAGTTTTGAAAAATTAATTTTCATTTGATGCAGTTGTTGTACCTGACCAAGCTGTTGTCCTGGATTGGGTCTTTGCTAATGGCCCACCTCAAAATGCGAATGTGTATGATAACAACAACCGTGAGGACTTCCATGCTATCGTGACAAAGGTTATACCTGATGAAAAGACTTGGATTTGGGAAGAGCAAAGGATATATAAAAAATTGCAAGAGAAAAGGAGGTTAAGAGAGGAAACTATACGCGCCAAGGTTAGTTTTCACAAGAGATGCCTTTCAAATGGTAACATTGAGTATTAATTGTATTATTATGTTCATGTTATTTTTAATATAAAAACATGCAGAAAGTTAGGGATAACATATATACCTATAGTGTAACTAGCATATTTGGGGTATGGAGTTTATCTTTTTGACTTTGATCTGGTAGCTTATTTAAATATTTGTGTTGAGACTGCAGTCCTAGGGTTATCCCCAAAACTTTGCTTATCTAAATATTAGTCGGCAAACAAAAGCATTACGCTTTTTTGCCTTTGGGAAGAAATAATATTGATAACATTTCCTTGATTTGGACTTGTTAATGTTTCAGGTTGAAAAAACAGCATGTATAAAAGCTGAAACAAGGAAAAAAACTTTAGAAAGATTTTTGCTTTCTCAAAAGCATATTGTCTTCACTGAGCCTCTTCATGTTCAAGCAGGGAGCACAACGACTGTATTTTATAATCCTTGCAACACAAACCTAAATGGGAAATTAGAGGTTTGGTTTAAATGTTCATTTAATCGATGGACTCATCGTAATGGTCCATTGCCACCTCAGAAAATGTTGGCTACAGAGAATGGTACTTACGTCAAAGCCTTTGGTGAGTCTCTCAGTGTTTAGATTTGAAAAAAAAAAAAACAATGGAATATAGTAATCCAATAATTAGCAATATCAAGGTTTTTAATATCTCCTTGGTTGCTTAAATTTTGAACTAATTATTTTCTTGTTAGAACTAATGGAGAGGATATGTGAATTCTAAAATACATTCAACTTTCAAGTTCCTTTCAAATGTGTTATAATTTTTTGGTTCCTATTAAATGAATTGTGCTACCTATTCATGTGTTTTATAAGTTGTAAATTGGCCTTGGTATAAGTGTTGAATGTTCGTCATTAAAAAATGTTATGGAAAAAGTGGTGTTTATTAAAAAAAATGAAAAGAAAAAGAACATATTGCTTACATACAAATTCAATGTAACATAGTGAAATGTTTATAAATCTTTTGTCAGATTAGCGACAAAAAGTGTTTCAAGGAAGATAGTGTAACATTTATTTTAGCATATTATTTGGAATTTCGCAACTTGATACAATTAATGTATTTGTGCAATCAATATGTACGTAATGGTAAAAGGACAAAACCAATTCATTTACATATAGCCTTATACATTTGTTCTGAATAAACTCCATGATTTTGTGCTTCTACAGTTAAGGTTCCATTGGATGCTTACATGATGGATTTTGTATTCTCTGAGAAAGAAGACGGTGGAATTTTTGATAATAACAATACAATGGATTATCACATACCTGTTTTGGGAGGTACTGTGAAGGAAATGCCCATGCATATTGTCCATATTGCTGTTGAGATGGCCCCAATTGCCAAGGTAATTAGCTTGATACATCTACATTATTGTTTGATGATGAAATTTTTTGAAATTTACAATGAAGTAATATCAAATCTTACCATTACCACATGGGTTTTTAATGAAAAATACAATTCTCACGTGGTTATAGTATTTAGTGATCTCTTAAAAAAGTTAACATCAAAATGTCGATCATAGTTCTTTTATTTTTTTAGGTGTATATAAAATGTGGACTTTTAAAATGTGTGTAATCGTAAGAATAAAATTAGCATTTTTATTGAATTAGCATTTTGAGTGTTTCAGATGTTAAAATTTTATCAATGAGGGAGAAGAAATAATGAAAGTCAATCATTTTGGAGATTTTATAATATGTGAATTCTATAATGCAATTTGAGGATATTAGAATGCAACATGCTTGATGGACATTGCTAAAACATGTTGTGAAAGATTTTAACATGCTCTTTTAGTTCTGATGATCTATATTTTTGGTAGGTTGGAGGCCTTGGTGATGTTGTTACTAGTCTATCACGAGCAGTTAGAGATTTAAATCACAATGTGGATATTATTCTTCCAAAGTATGATTGTTTGAACCTTAGCAATGTAAGTTTTTTGCTATTGCTTTAGCACTTGTGTTATATCACCCTACATCGAATATTTAGAGTTTATTCATTAAATCAAGAGTTTTCTAGCATGTCATATTGAAAGAGCACGTTGTGATGGTTAGTCATAAGAGTGTTATATCTTGAGTTTCAACGTGAAACTAGTTGGTAAACAAAGGAGAAAAAGAAAAATATTAGAAATTAGTCAAGACATTCATGAGCATGTTTCTTAACATTTGTTTGTTGAGCATTACATTGCCCTCTTAAACGTGTAAACAATTATTGTTGAGTTATTTTTGCATGTTTGAGTAACTACATAAGTCCCTAGTTTATTTGATTTTTTTTAAATAGGTCTCTAAACTATCTTGTTTTAAAAATAATTATCTCTCTAGAAATCAAAATAGCTTCATAAGATTAGTTTGTAAGAGCTTAAAACTGTAAAAATAATGACAACTAATATCAGTTTTTAAAACTATAGAGACTCGATTAAAAAAAGATTACATGATCAAGGGTTCGATTAATTTATATATATATATATATATATATATATATTAAAATATTAAA